CTGCAGGTCGGCGTCGACGTCGGGGTTGGCGTTGGCGCCGGCACTATGCAGCCGTCTGCTCCTCCGCCGCCGCCAGCGCCGGGCGCCGGGTTGGGCATGCCTCCCGCACCCCCGCCTCCGCTTCCGCCCGGGGCCGCCTCTGGGTCCGTCGCAGGGAGCAGGGCTGGGGTCGCCGCCTCAGCCGCCGCAGCAGGGAGTAGGGCTGGGCCCGGCTCCGGGGCCGCAGGAGGCGCCCAACGCTGCCAGCCCTGCCAACATCAACGACTTATCTGCCGGAACGCGGACGGGTCGCGAAATGGCGCTGGCAATAGGGGCTGCTTTTCCCGTGGGATTATTCGCCGTATGAGGTAATCATCGTTGTGTTTCATGTATGATCTGGCAGGCGTTTGCTTGGAATAGTGTACAACTGCCTAGCCTATATGATACAGTCTTATCTCCTACGATATCGGCTGGCACACACCTACTTCTTGCCAAACAGAGCTTCCCTAGTGTTGTACTTGTAGTCAATCTCGCCGTGAATGTAGTTGGCCGTCTCGCCCTTGGCGATGGCCCAGGCCTCGTCGAGCGCGTTGACCACGTCCTCGGGCAGCGGGCCCTTCTCGAGGTTGTTGAGGTTGTCCTCGAGCTGGGCGCCGCTCGAGACGCCGATGATGATGCCGTCATTGCCGCCCCTGCACGCGGGCTTCAGGGCCGAGTGATGCACGATCCAACGCAGCGCCGTCTCGATCAGGGTCAGGCCCGGGTGGCGCTCGATGGCCTCCTCGACCGTCTTGAGGGCGCCAAAGGTCGAGTCCTTGAAGTAGCGGTTGCGGTACAGCTTGCCCATGGCGGCGGACGAGTCGCTGAACCGCCCCTCGGCAGGCACCATGTCCTTGGACTTGACCTTGCCGCTGAAGAGCCCGCCAGCAAGCGGGTTGTAGGCGACCACATCGAGGCCGTAGCGGCGGCACGCGGGCAGCAGCTCGGGTTCGATTCCGCGCGTGATAGCGTTGTACATGGCCTGGTACACCGTCGGGCGCACCCAGCCGTTTTGCTTGCATGTCATGACGATCTCGGCCACCTCGAAGGCGGCGAAGTTGGAGATGCCAAAGTTGACAAACTTGCCGGCCTTGTGCAGCTGGTCGATGGCCGCGAGCGTCTCGGTAAAGGGGATGCTGCGGTCGGGAGCGTGCAGGTAGAGAATCTGGCGATGCATGGGTCAGTCGGAGGCGCTTCTGAACTTGTAGCAAAGCGGAAGCAAAAAAAAAGAAAAACTCACATCAACCTTGTCGGTTCCCAGATCCTTCAGGCTCGTCTCGACCGAGGCAACCGCCTTGTCGGCCGCGTTGTCACCGGCCTGCATTGGATACCGCACTTTGGTGGCCAGAGTAAGGCCGCGCTTCTGCCAGTCGGCCTCGCCCGTGAAGGCCTCCTGCTTGCCGCCGACGTACACGCGGGCCGTGTCGACCTCGGTGTAGCCGCGGCCTTGGAAGACATCGAGGATCTTTCCGAATTCGACCACATCCGTGATGCGCGCGCCTGTCTTCTCGTCTGGGCCAAACGTCATCAGGCCCAGGATGACCCTGTTGTTGGGGTTCTGGGCGATAAGGGGCGACATGTTTGCCGTGGTGTCTTTGCTCCTTGTTTCTGGGGATATCTGTCTCTGGCGGTGTTGGCGAGAGTGGCACACGGCAGCCAGGATGGCCTCCCCTCTCTCGGAACAGCCTCTTTGAGCTCAAGGGCGTCCTCCGACTCCATACGGCTCAAAGGGTGGGGCGCTCTGGTGGGGGTCGAGGGATGCGACGTGGCGGGGATACCGGGTAGTGGTCGGTTAGTAGTAGGGGACACCAGGCGTGCTTTCTCATCATGATTAATGATTAATGTACAAAAAAGTTAATGTACAAAAAAGGCCTCCGCCGACGTGCCTGCCCCTCACATGCAGGTATTAGGCTTCAAGTCCGACTCGCCAATTTCGCTGGCCCGAACTCGGAGTCGGCGTTAATGTCCCTGCACCTTTTAACTCGGGCACGGGTACCTTGCCCCAGCTGGGGGTACAATATGTGTACGTCATGTAATGTTGGGGTGGCTGATAAAGGCTGTTCTGAGAGAAGCTTCAGGTGTGAGGAATCAGGTGTGAGGAAGAGACCATCACGACGGGAAGAAACAGCAACCCACGAAAGCCTGAATCCCACGTGATTCCCTGTCTGCATCAGCCATAATCAGCCACAACGGACGCATGCCTCGTGTAGCAATTCCCCACATGACCCATTCCACAACAGCGCCAAGACCAGGGCTCGCTGCCTCAGGCGCTGCGCCCTTAATTGATTCGCGTTGCTCGCACCTCCGTTTCGCGTCACGCAGTTTCGCGTCTGGTCCTGTACTTCCCACACACCCACACCCCCCTGCCTTCGCTTGCGTTGTCAGGCAATTAAACCACCAAAGGCGGTCGCAAGCCATCGTGCCAATTTGGGCCAAACCCCGTGGCAATCTTGTCCGGCCGATGTTCTGCCGCCTGCGAATAACCTGCGAATAACCTCATCGCCTCGGGCCCCCAAGACACCCACTGCTGCCGCTCCAGCACCCCAGAACCACTCGAGGCACCTGCTGATTCCCTAGGCCTCCTGCCGACTGGCTGCCCGCCCTGGCGATCCGGCCCCACGTCACTGTCCCCGTCGTCGAGCCTCCTGTTCAATCCGCGGCGCCCACCCTGCGGCCTCGGCGCGCATAGCCGAGAACGAGCCCTGCCCCCCCGACAAGCCCGTCTCTCCGAGCGCATCCTGTCGTCGGCCGACCGACCCGATCCTTTTCGGCTGCGGCCATCGGCAGGCCTCGCCATGGTCAAGGCAGCGGCCGTTGTGAGCACGCCCACCGGGCCGGGCATATACAGCGCCACGTACAGCGGAGTAAGTGTAGATGGACATGAAAAAAAAGTTCTGTTGGCTTCGGAATCCTCGAGAGCATGCGACACGACCGACGCTCGCCGCCTTTGTCCTTACAGGCTCGCCCAGTCGTTAAACTTCTGCTCAAGTGAGGCTAGAGTTGGGGCTTGAGCTGTGCGCCGCACTTGAGCTTCTCCTTTTCCTCATACATGACGTCTTCTCACGGACATCAGCCCACACCCTCTTGTTCATGTATTCCTGCATACCTTGCTCGTCGGACCAAACAAGCATATCTGGCAATACTCGTGACTAGCTTCCCCATGTTGCGCCAGTTGGATGTCGCCTTGCCGTTCCCACCACATGTGCTACTATTGCGCATCTCATGATGCATATGCATCCTGCAACACGTCAGTCGAGTCTAACCCATCATCCCACTGTCTAGATACCGGTGTACGAATACCAGTTCGGCGTCGACCTGAAGGAACATGTTATGCGACGCCGTCATGACGACTGGATCAACGCGACACATATCCTCAAGGCCGCTGGCTTTGACAAGCCCGCAAGGACAAGGATCCTCGAGCGAGAGGTTCAGAAAGACACACACGAGAAGATCCAAGGCGGCTATGGAAAGTATCAAGGTTCGCCTACCATCTCCTTGCGCGACTATTTATAGCGCCTCCGAAAGTCTTTGTGGTTTTAGCTGGCGCTAATCAATGCTCCTGCTCTCACATCAGGAACGTGGATCCCGTTGGAATCCGGCGAGGCCCTCGCAAATAGAAACAACATCTACGACCGACTACGACCAATTTTCGAGTATGTACCAGGCGCCGAAAGCCCGCCGCCCGCCCCGAGGCACGCGAGCAAGCCTAAACAACCAAAGAAGCCCGCTGTTCCAAAGTTCAACAGCAAGGCCGCACGTGCTGCTGCTGCTGCTGCTGCGGCAAGCCAAGCGCCACCACAGCCCGTCCCCTACTCGGCCGCACCAACGCCTCAGGAAGGATTCGACAATGCCGACGTCCTTATGGAGGAGGACGGCACCCCAGACAACCTGACGGTGGCATCCGCCTCGTATCTTGCCGAGGAAGACAGACATGACCTCTCGCACTTCTCGACAGGCCACCGCAAGCGCAAGCGGGAGGAGATGCTGCAGGACCTGTCGGACCAGCAGCACTCCGTGTACGGAGATGAGCTGTTGGACTACTTTTTGCTCTCCAGAAATGAACGCCCGGCGATACGTCCCGATCCTCCGACAAACTTCCAACCCGACTGGACCATCGATATGGACCGCCACACGGCCCTCCACTGGGCTGCAGCCATGGGTGATGTGGAAATCATCAAGCAACTCAAGCGTTTTGGCGCGAGGTTGGACGCCCAGAACCTCAGGGGCGAGACGCCGCTCATGCGGGCCGTCAACTTCACAAACTGTTACGAGAAACAGACCTTCCCAGTCGTCATGAAGGAGCTCTTTGAGACGGTTGATCATCGCGATCTCGCCGGCTGCACCGTTATCCACCACGCCGCCATAATGAAGAGCGGCCGCGTGTCGAGCCCATCGTGCTCGCGCTACTACCTGGACAACATACTCAATAGACTGCAGGAGACACAGGGTTCCGACTTTGTCCAGCAGCTGCTCGACGTACAGGACATGGATGGCAACACAGCCGTCCATTTGGCCGCCCAGCGCGGCGCGAGCAAGTGCATCCGCGCCCTACTTGGCCGCGGCGCCAGCACCGACGTTGCCAATAACGAAGGCATCCGTGCTGAAGACCTTATTAGGGAACTAAACGCCAGCAAGAAGGCCCGCTCGGCGCCGCAGCGCTCGTCATCGCCCTTTGCGCCCGAGTCGCAACGCCACGTCTCGTTCCGGGATGCGTTAGGCGTCCATGCCGCCGGCGAGGGGGCCGCAGGCATGGCGGGGAGCACCGCCAGCACTGCCCACCACACCCACCACGGCCCCGTCGGCAGCAAGCTCGCCGTATCATACAAGTCGGAGGCGGCGCTTACGGTGCAGAACCGAATCACGCCGCTTGTTTTTGAGAAGTTCCACGAGCTGGCGCGCAGCTACGAGGACGAATGGCGCGAGAAGGACGAGGCCGAGCGCGAGGCAGCACGAATCCTGAGCAACGCGCAGGCTGAACTCGACGCCGCCCGCGCGCAGGCCGCCGAGATCGAGTCGATGCTGCAACCCGAACCCGCGGCATCGCGGCTCGAAGCCGAGGTGGCAGCGGTTGCGGGCAAGGTGACGTCGTTTGTGTCGCACCAGAACCGTATCGCCGTCGAGGGGCTCGTCGACCGCGAGCTGGGTGCCGCGGCAGAGGCGGCCGAGGGCGCAATGAACGGAGGCGGCAGTGGCGGCGACGGCAGCGGCGCCGGCAACGCGGTTGAAGAGCGGTTCCGACTCGCCAACGAGCTTAGGCAGCTGCTGGCCGAGCAGCAGGTGGCCGAGGCCGAGTACGTGGACGCGCTCAGCGTGGTGGGCACGGGCGAGAACATCGAGCAGTACAAGCGCCTGCTCAAGATCTGCCTAGGCCCCGAGGCCGAGAGCCTCGACGACAACCTCGACGGCATCATCGAGATGATGGAAGAGGAGGCCGTTGACGGCGCCGGCGGCGATGCACCCGGCCTGGAAGAGCAACCCATGACCGATGCCACGGCGGGGCTGAACGGGACTATGCCGGGATCCATGGCGCCACCAGACCCGCATTTTGGAGCCCCTGAGCCGATGGAGATTTCGGTCCTGTAGGGCAGCCGACCGCGTCCCTTTCCCTTTCGCGACTGGTGGTGATCCCGTCGCTTGTCTCGCACTTCATCTCTATACCCCACATCTAGCGAACGCCTCCATGTCATCAAAATCTCGATGCTTTTAGACCCCTGTCGGAGCAAGAAACCTCATCATCGTCAGCACGAAGGAGCCGGCTTAGGCTCTCGGCGAGCGGGGTTGGCGCCCAACCGTCGGGCGCCATGGCCGTCTCAACGCAATCGCTGGTGCCTAGAGGGATTCCGCGATCTGCAATCTCGCCGCACCCTGCGACAAACACCTGCCCGTTGAAGGATCCCCTCAAACACCCTAAACCCCCGATCCATCTGGATTTTCTTTTGTTTAATGTCTTGTGTGTGTGTGACTGTTTGTGTGCGTGTCTGAATACGACGGCGTTTGTGGAGCACTTTTTGGATGGAAAAGAGGAAACGCAGGAAACAAACATGGAACGCAAGCAGGAGAGAACGAGGAAGCAGGAGTGTGTGGGATTATTATGTGCCTTGGACTGCGAGGACGGATGTATACTTGTTCCTATGTCCTTTTGCTAAACCCCGTCATCGCAGCCCCCTTTTCTTTCTCTCGTTCTTATCGTGCCGTTGACGGCCAAGTCCTCCAGGCCTCGCCCAAGACTCGATCCGTTACATCATTACTTTTCCCCTTTGTTTCTCTCACTATGGTTGTATACCTACTCTATAGATAATGATCCCACATCAAGGTCTTGTTCTTCCCTTGGCTACGTCGCTGGTTTCACCCCTGCCGTATCTCGTCCCCGTGTCCGAGCCCCATCTCGGTCAGGTTAGGAGAGCACGGGGATGGACGTCTTTGTCGCCCACAGTTTCTCATCTTTTTTGTTTGTTTGTGGATGGGAGTTGCCTTTTGATAATGACGATACTGCTGAACACCGAAAAGTACTCGTGTGGTCAGGTACCTACCGACCTGGATGCGCATGCTGGAAGTTATTGATACATGGCAGCCAATTCGACCACCATTATCCATCTATCCATCCATCCCTGTAGAGCTTGCCCCTGCGTGGGTGTGCATCCCCCTTCCGCGTCTCACTCACTCACCACCCACCCCCCACCCAGATACTCGCCTCCTTCAGCCTTATCGCTCGGGACCGCACGGCGTCGAGCTGCGAGGGCTTCGAGGAGATGAGGGGGCGCGGTTACCGGAGCCGTGAGAACCGATTACGCCTCCCTCCACACACACACACACACCGCCCCTTATGTTATCTCGGTGGTTTTATCACCCACGAAACGCCAATGCTCGGACAAAAAGCGACCATCGAGAGACCGAGAGCGAAGTGGCGATGACGGGGCTCTTTTTTCTTTTTTCTTTGCGTGCCGCCGCCACACGGCACGTCGCCGGGACCGAGTTTGAAGCAAGAACCCCCTCCCCCCCCCCCGTCCGTTCGTCGTCGTCGTCGT